AAGGCCTTATTGTATGAGGTTTTTGCGCTGTTTTGAGCCTAAGGGTAGACTTGGGGCCGCAATACCTTTTGGGGCCATAATACCTTTATGCTACTATGTGGCATGGACCTTTACGTATCAGCTGGCATTCTCTTCTGTTGTTTACCTAAACTATTGCGGCAAGAAAGAGTGAGAAAGCGTGAATGAGTCAAAGCAGAAAGTCACCAGGTGAAGCCAGGCTTGAGTCCACCGGCCGGGGCACTTATTTGATGTCGGCACACACACAGACACAGAGACGTAGGCATGTAAGCAAAAGAAAGACAGCAGTCAGCAAAGATGTATAGGAGAGAAACAGTGAGAACAACAGGAAATGCAAAGGATTTAGGGTGTGGGTTTAGGGTTTAACCAGGGCTTTTAGGGCTTATAGGGCTTGGGGTTGTTCGATAAACAAGGGGCCACCCCGTCTAGTTACGATGCCTTGGAGGATTTCCTTCATGTGTGGCGGGCACCCTCAACAAACCCGAAAGCTCAGCTTCCAGGAATGGGAGAGAAGCAGAGATTAAGACGGAACTGCCAGGTGCCTGCAAGGCTTCACGTCGGGTGCCCGCGCTCCACCAATGCGCTTGGAAGAAGATCGGCCTCGATGACGGCCGAAGCACCCAGCGCGAGGCTGATCTATGCACTGCGAGCTGTGTGGGGAAAAAGAAGCCAGCGTCGCCAGGATGTCACCCCGCAATCGCATTGGTTTTTGCCAGCTCGTGCAGGCTGGGCTGCCTGCGTGTCATGGCTTGCACCAATTGCCGCCGGCATTTGTTTTGTCATTTCCTGATGGTACATGTGACTGTGAAAGTCCGTATTTTCAAATTTATGTTGGTGGCATTGCTGTTCACTTTGCTGCGTCTCAAATAATTAGCCGGGATAGATAACGTTAATATACGTCAATAAGCAGCCCGTGAGCGCAGTGGACAGGGCTTTGTTTGGGCGCGCATTCCCCACACCTCAGCCCCCCGTAAAGCATGTGTTCAATCTACTCGCCACTTCTTTCCTCGCCAACATTTCTGTGCTGCTGCGACCAAGACTTAACATGCCAGGCGGTGTCACAGCGCTTCGGCTTGCAAGCCGCGTAATGGTTCAGGTCTACTGCGATCAGCAAATGCACCACTAAGGACCTTCGGCCAGGAGATCTGTGCAAGTTGCTCGCAAAGGCCACGAGGTGATGGACATGCGGGGACCTTAGCCCAGTCTGCGCACGCATGCTTCGAGTGTCCAATCAGAAGCATGTCGGGTTCGCGCTTCAGTGCATTTCTGGAATCTGTCGGCAGTGCGTTTTTGGAAGCTGTTGCTGAAGTTGCAACGAAGAAAGTTACGAGGCCAACAACTTCATAATGTGCGGTTTCCGCGTGGTTCGTGCAACGTCATTCCTGTGGTTCGGGTTGCCTGCTCGTTTCTCCCGAATGAGTTTCAAGTAGGCATGTGCGGCTCAAGGCAGGGACGCGAAGACCTCACAGTCGCCTCTTAACAACGTGCAAATATCAGAGAGGTTGCCACCTGCAGAAGCGGACCAAATTAGCGCCTTCCAAACCGACATTCCGATGCTCGTGCTACATGCGTTGATCCCTTACCCTTATGGATCTTGAGGCACACAGAGGCAGGACTGGATGATCGTCACGCTTGCGAGTTTGCACTTTGCAGTGTACTTTTTGGAGTCTGAGCCCTGGTGCTATTGGAATACTATTGCGTACCATATTTGTTCTTGGCGCTTGGAATTCCGCTTTTCCAAACTGGTTTACGTGTTGCTTGTGGAAGCTGAGGTCTGTTGACCGCAAACCATTTCAAAAGCTACAAGTTGCGGGACTTCACAAAGTCTACTGTGCCTTGTGACCGCCGCCGCCACCACCGCCACCATGGCCGCGACGACGATGACGACGACGACGACGACGGCGCGGCGCAACCCTACAAAGTAGGTTTCGTGGGTATAGAGTCAATTTGGCTGGGAATGCTGGGAGATTCAGGACACCCTGACTGCTTGGGGGTACAGACCGGAACCCGCTTTAAAGTCGAAACGTTCCCGAAGCCGGGCTTGTTTAGAAGCAAGCTTGAAACCGATGTCCTGGCCTCTTGGCTTGGAGGCCGGGACTTTGAATCTTCAAGGCAACCTTTCCAAAAACCCGACATCCCGACTGACACGAATTCAAGAATTGCTTTATGAAAAACCAGAAAAAAACATTGTCTTGATCAATCCGGCAAAGGGGTGGTCCAGGGGCCAGACTAACCTCGAATGCCGGACATTGTTTCGGGGCCCGCTATCATGTCCTGGCCCAGGGCCCGGGGCTCTGGATTTCGATGCCCTGGCCTCCTGGCTTAAAGGCCGGGCTTTTGAGTCGAAAGGCAGGCCTCGTTTCCAAGACCTCAAAAACCCGGAATCCCAACAAAGCCGAAACCAACTAATTCCCCTTTAAAACGCCATATCAAAAATTGTCTTGACAACGGGGTTTACGAGGCAGTGTTTGGGGACCCGCTTTACTGTCCTGGCCGCGGGCCCTGGGTGTCAACAAATCAGATGGATCCCTTTTAAAATCATATTACACACTCATCACTTTGAAAGTCAGACGGATCCCTTTTAATTCATACAAACTCATCCCTTTTGAATTCATATGGACCCCTCTTAAATTCACATAAACTCAGACGGATCCATTTGACATTCATATAAACTCATCCCTTTTCAATTCATATATGGACCCCCTTTAAACTCACATAAACTCATCCCTTTTACATTCATATGGATCCCTTCTAAACTCATATAAACTCATCCCTCTTAAATTCATATGGATCCCTTTGAAATTCATAAAAATCATCTCTTTAAAATTTTCCAGTTTGTATAAACTCCTCTCTATTGAAACCGTTTAAAATCTCTAAACGGTGTAAACAAGGACAAAAACAGCTTCTACTGTTCTGGGGGGGGGGGGGGGGCCTACACTAAAACAGGTGAAACATTACTCACGACAATTCTCAAATCGCGAATGATGTTGGCGCCGGGCGTTAAACAACAATTCTCAAATCACTGACTGCTCCAAAGCAAGAAGGCTGGATGACTCAGCACTGTAGGCAGCGCCACGCTTGTCATGTCGATTTCAACGTCAGGCGTCAGGTGTTTATCGCTTGTCAGGCCGTGTTCGAATTTGAGATATTACCCCAGGTCACAGGGAGTGGAATTGACCCCTGAGCTCTGCGCCCACGCTGTTGGTCTCTTAGATTTCAACAGGCTTATGGCGCTGTTCCCGCGTATGGCGCGATACGAAACTCCAACGCCGGCTTCAAAGTTGACAGCTTTTGCAGGACAGCGTGGAACAAGTTGCGCCCGCTCAGCTCCAAGTTCTGCTCGGAGGAGTGTTTTGCATAGTTAGGTCTTGGTGTGTCTTGGTGCTTGGCAGACGATTGCTGGCAAACTTGCCATGCTCCAGGTAGCCAAGTCTGTATACAACAGCATGATCAACACATGGGCGAGTCGGCGTGGTCTTAGGTGCCATTGCAGGAGATTGTGAAAGGGCTGGTCATTGGCTCGCGCCCCCCTTCTTTTTTGTCGAACGAATGTGTCCCAAAATCACAATTCGCGAGTAGTACCCCCCCCCTTTAGGGTTTCTGACAGAATTGATCGTGAAATGACAAATCACAAGCAGTGTTCCCCGTAGCTGTTGTGAAGCATCCTTTAGCTTTTTGCTAACAAATATGTCTCAAAATCCAAGTGCAAGCAGAATGTCCCTTTGGATGTGTTATAGAGTAGGATATAAATGACAAATCAAAAGCAGCTCACCCTTAGTTTGTTTTGAAGCACCCGTTAGTTGTTGCTGAAAGAATATGTCCCCAAATCACAGATCGCAAGCAACATCTCTTTTTTTGTGTTGAATAATTGAGAAAATGACAAATCGCAAGCAGCGTCCAAGTAAATTACTTTAATTTGCTGTTGAAAGAATATGTCCCAAAATCGCAAATCGCAAGCAGCATCCCTGTTAGTTTTTATTATGGAATACATCACGAAATGACAAATCGTAAGTAGTGTGCCCCAATTCGTGAAGATCAAAAAATTTCGAGCTGGCTCGAATCTTGCGAATAAACCCCAATTCTGTCATTCATCTACGAGACGCAGCCATAGTTTCGAGCCGATCCAAATTTTCCGAAAGCTCGTACGTTGTCAGGTCACCAAGACTCCGAAAAAACGTACATTCTGCAATGATTAAGAACGCGCATGATTTCCCCACGTTGTCCCACGTTGTCCCAGTCTGCAAGCACGACGTGGCCGGCACAAAGAGTACATTGTGCAGCTTGGCAAACCGGCAAGAAAGCGGTGGCCACATGCCTAACCTTCGAAGAGGACCGACTCAGTAACGACTCGCGAAAAGTAATTCTTTACCCAAGTCAAAACAGCCGCAGGCAGTGCGTCCCGCATGGTGAGAGCCTCTCAGCTTCAGGTAGCACAAACGACAAGAACATCTAACTCGCCGCAACTTCGATGGCTGCGCAGGCGCCGGCCCGGCAAATCCAAAGGGCAAGGCTGTGAACTCCTCAGTAACCACGTGCCTCCACTACAAGATACACGCAAGCGCAGCACCCAGAGGCCAGCGCCACAGCTGCAGACCTTCCGGCCTAGAACCCGCGCTCACCGACTTCGTGAAGTCACATGCTCAGGAAAACATTTCGGCTCGTAGTCTTAAAGAGAGCGCCTGGCCCAGTCAAGACTCCGGAAGCACCGCAACCCTAAACCCGAACCCTCAACCCTAAACGTAAGACCACCAAAGACCACTCTCACTGTCTCGTAGAAATGAAGGCAGACTGGAGGATTTAGGCTTTAGGGTTTAAACCTTAGCAAATTTGCTAACACCAAAATTTGAACAAAAGCACAAAACTTTGTCGTAGACAGAACCAAAAGGAATTGCCACGTGATGCCTAAGGGTCCATGCCACATACTACGACTACGATCGTTCCTATTTAAGGTATATGAAGCCAAAAGCCCTAAAGCCACCCAGGTACTGGAGCCGTTCATGATCCCATGGCAGAGTGACATTGGATTCCTAGACAAGACGCGGATGCCCGACCCGCCCTCCTTCCAAAGGATCTTCGACAACATCAAGGAAGGCGTGTACTACACGAAGGAAGGACAGTCGTTGCAGGTCGTCAAGGATATGCCTTGCCACTTCTCAGACGCGCAGTTTGAGCAGCTTCTGGCCGAGTTTCCAGCGGCTCATCATGCGTTTCTTGTGCGGCACCCATTTCAGATGATCCCGTCCTACTTGAAGGCCCTTTCGCAAGATGCCAACCCTGAAGGATTCACAGATGACATCATCATTGCCGACACTTCTTACGAGCCCATGGTCAGGGCCGCCAAAAGGCTGAAAGAAGCTTCGCGCAACGTTCTAGTCATCGATGCTGGGGAACTCCTGGCGGAACCAGAGTCGCGTCTGCGAGATCTTTGCGATCACATTGGCGTCGACTTCTCTCCGGCGCTACTGCATTGGGAGCCGAACAAGATACCATCGTCATGGCTGGATTTGGAGCATTTCGAGGGCTGGCTCGACACCGTGGTTTCCAGCAACGGATGGATGGCAAGACCTCGGTCGCCGCCGACGTACCCTCAAGTTGACAGCGCCCTGGCGAAGAAGTGCGTGGATGACAATCTGCCACTCTTTGAGCAGCTGCTGACTTGCAACGAAGCCCGTTCTTGAGAGTTTACGCTCGCTTCTATGGCTGCGCCAAATTGCGATCAAGACTTCTAGAAATTATAAGGGTGGTTAGGAAAGTTAGAAGAAGTTAGAAGGAGTTGGAGAAGTTACACCCTAAACCACAAACCCACAGACCCTAAATTTTGAGGGCACATGGGGTAACCCCTGAACCGTAAACACTAAACCCTTATTTTGAGGGCACGTGGAGTTAACCCTAAATCCTAAACCCTAAGCCCGTATTTTGAGGGCACAAAGCCCCAGTAAGCACAGCAAAGAGGACTATCCGGGTTATGTTCATCGTGCTCAGAGCGCGGGTTGCACCCTTCAGGGCCTGACTGTTTGGGTTTCGGGTTTAGGGTTTGGGCTTCAGAGTTTAGGGTTTAGAGTTTAGAGTTTAGAGTTTAGGGTTTAGGGTTTAGGGTTTAGAGTTCAGGGTTTAGGGTGTAGGGTTTAGGGTTTAAGATACCTGGAATTCTATTTACCTACAGCTTCGCATAGGGAGTACTGCTAATTTCATGAGCAACCCCTAAACCACCCTAAGCCCCCAAACAATGCAGGTAAAAACTCAAGAACCGCAAGCTACTTTTTGTGTAGGTTACCAAAGAATCATTTCAGGGTGTTATAGTCGTAATAACCCACGAAAAGGTAGGTTTTGGGTTCTTACGGAATAGAGGGGTCTGTACAGCGTTTCAGGGGGTTCAGGTTTGCGGTGTGAGGTGTCTAGGGTGGAGGGCCTGGGCTCTTAGGATTTAGGGTCCAGGGTTTTGGGTTTCGGGTGCAGGGTATTGGGCTTGGGGTTTTGGAACCGAAGACGGCTCAGGACTGTTGCAGGGTCTAGCGCCGCCTCTTGTGTGAGTTGTTTTGTTCTTAGGGTAGTCCTGAAGTTCAGGGCTTAGGCTTTTTAGGGCTTGCTGTAGAGCTTTCGGGGTTGAGGGGCTAGGTTTAGGGTTTGCTGAGGGTATCCCCATCTCATCCCAGATGCAAGAAGCAGCTGCAAGTGACTTGTGCCGAACTGTTCATGAGGCTCAGCAACGCACAGGTGGACTGAAGACGTGCCATCCGCAACTCCCCCGAAATTGAAAAACCCCCGCCAAAGGGACCACATCATCATTTTGAATCATGTTTGTAAGGGGGCCCAAGCACTTAGCTGAAACTCCCTACAACAGGTACCAGGACTCAAGTTTGTAAAAAAGCTACACCTTTACAGTCCCAACCCTCCGCCCCGTCCCCGCCTCCCATGAAACCCAAACCCTAAACTCACGCACCCCGAACCTCGTAAGCCTTAAGCTCTGAGGCCTAAACTCCGAAAGCCAGAGCCTTAAATTGCTAAACTCTAAGCTTAGCCTCCTAAACCCTAATCCCTAAAGCCCTATACCCTAAAGCCTAAACCCTAAACCCTAAACCCTCAACCCTAAACAACCCTAAACCCGAACAGAGAGCCCATCCTGCACCCTTGGGCAAAGCATGGCGCGCCGCTCTTTCAGTGCATGACAAGGCTGCCGGTAGTTGTTTTAGGAATAGCCCTAAACCCTAAACCCTAAACCCTAAACCCTAAACTCTTAAACCTTCTATCCCTAAACCCTCCCTTCGGGTTTAGGGTTTAGGGTTCAGGGTTTCGGGTTTTGGGTTTTGGGTTTTGGGTTAAGTTTAGGGTTTAGGGTTTAGGGCTTCTAGCGCCCAGTGTCGGCCCTTGTTCCCTCTTTTTTTAGGGTTTCGGTTGGATTCTAAGCCCCTATGAAACCCAGAAGGGCACCCCTTTTTATGCCTGGGTTACTCTATTGGGTCTAGCAAACCTATAAACCCTAAATTTGGCGTTTGTAGAAAATCAGGGGAATATTCTGCAATTGCGTGTTCTCTCAAATTATGTCTTCGAAGACAAGCGTCGCTCCGGGACACGGTGCCATTGTGTGGGTTTCGGGGGCCAAGCAGCTCGCTGTAGTTTCACTGGGCTCAGGGTTTAAGGGCTCAGGGTTTAGGAGTTGTTGTTTCATCAAGAAATTCGATATATTATAAAGGATTACAATATATTTAGAAATATGTCTTATAGATTCCAAAATAGTTAAGAATGTGTCTATATATATAATATAGTACATCAGAGGGTGCATAGGTTGGCTTCGGCAAGAGCCACATCGCTAATCTTCGGACTGTTGAGAAGTGCTGGGCTGAAAGAGCTCTTGACAATTCCCTCGGAAGCCCTTAAACCAAGAAACCTAAACCCGGTATCATCGTGTCCCTTGAAACCCTGAACCCTGAACCCGAAACCCTAAACCCTAAACCCTAGACCCTAGACCCTAGACCCTTAACCCTAAACCCTAAACCCTAAACCCTAAACCCTGAACCCGTGGCTCTGCCACTGCCTTCTGCGGAGGCTTCCACCCAAGCCGGGATGGGCAGTGGCAGGCGAGCAAAGTTGGGTTTTTGCAACCTCTGACCCTAAACCTCTAAACCCCTAAACCCCTAAACCCCTGAATCCTAAACCCTAAACCCGAACCCCTGAACCCTAAACCCTAAACCCTAAACCCTAAAGCCAAAACCCTAAACCCTAAACCCTAAACCCTAAACCCTAAACCCTAAACCCTAAACCCTAAACCCTAAACCCTAAACCCTAAACCCGAACCCCTGAACCCTGAACCCTAAACCCCTAGACCCTGCTTTGCGGTTCTCCTTAGGGTTGTTTATCAAGGGTGTAGATTTCGGGCCTCTGGCTGATTCAGGTGTGAAAAAGGCCGATGATTCCCAAGCGATCCTCGCAGCGCTAGAGGGATTTAGGGTTCAGGGTTTAGGGTTTAGGGTTTAGGGGTAGTATATACAGAGACGATTGTACTTGGAGGTTCATGGGTACTTCCAACCCCAGTCATAAGTCTACTTATAACCTACTTAGGGGACTTTGAGGGCACGGATCATTAGGGGCCCATGAACATTTTGGGTTTTTTGGGACATAGCGGGTGCTAACCCTTCGGGGATATATTAGGGACACCCCTCCTTTGGTGTCCACCCGTCCCTACCACCCCGCGGTCTTCAGCTGTAAGAGCCTCACCCCACTAACGCGGCATCTTTGGAGGTTCATGCCAGCGGCTTGATCTAACGAAACCCGAAACCCCAAGCCCCTAAACCCAAAGCCCAAGACCCTAAACCCTCTCCTTATGTGAAAGCAATTCTGCGGTCCACCTTCTGGGTTGAGAGCATGGGGCCTAGAATCTCGAGGATCGACAGTGTGGTCGAGACCTTCTTCGAGCCCTGCGCTTTCAGAGTCTGATCTGCTTTATGGCATCAGATGGCAGCTTTCAGTATTCTGATCGTTTTGAAAGTGGAGGGGCCCGTGGAAGGGGGTGGGGCTACCCTAGCGTGGCTCACCCCGGGGCCTGGGGATCAACCGGCCCTTCAAGTCGACGGAGTGGAGATCTTCTCACAGCATGAGGACGTCAGGATCCAGAGCTCTAAGCTCCCTCCCCCCCCCTCCCCCTCCCCCCAAAAAAAGACATATAAAACCCCTTTACAGAAGCCCCCTTGCTAAACTCGAAACCCTAACCCCCCAACAAAAAGGTCAAATCTCCCTAATCCCCGAAACCCTGCATGAACCAAACAAACAAAACAGCTCACCCGAAAAATCAACCTAAACCTTGACAAGCCCTAAATCCTCCACAATCCCTAACACCCTAACTCCCCCCCGCCCCCGAAATGCAAAGCTCGCTCTCTGAATTCAACCTAATTACCGCAAGCCTTCAATAACCCTACAACTGCTAACACACCAGACACTAACAGACCCCAAACCCTCTACAAGCCCCCACCCCCCCCCCCCCCCCCCAACACCCCAACACCCTAACACCCCAACATCCAACACCCTAACCCTAACCTAACCCTAGCACGGACCCAAACACCCAGCACCGTAACACCCAGCCCCCCCCCCCCCCCCCCCCCCAACACAACAAAATCACACACACACACACAAACAAACCACTCCTCTGAGCGATCAGGGCCTGCGCCCGGACAGCCGCGGCCCAAAGGAGGCTTGCAGCGATTCCGGGTTTAGGGTTCAGGGTTTGGGGTTTCCGGTTTAGGGCTTAGGGTTCTTCCCCCCCGCCGTCCCCCCCCTCCCCTCCCCTCCCCCCTCCCCCCAAATTAAGGGGTATGGTAAAGTCCTTCCTTATGTTCTCCTTCTATAGGTTAAGGGGTATGGGTTTGGGGTATGTTGAACCAGTCTTCGATGCAAGGGGGTTAGGGCCTAGGCGCCCTTACAGGGTTGCGTCTTCGCGTCCCAGGAATTTCCGAGCCTGTGGGGCTTTCGGGGTTCAGGGTATTCTTGCTGGCAGTAAACCCTAAATCCTAAATCCTAAATCCTAAACCCTAAACCCTAAACCCTAAACCCTAAACCCTTTCGACGTCTAGTCAGAGGGGGGCGCGCCAACTGCTGGAGCTCAAGACGCAACGCCCAAACCCCAAACCCCGAACCCCAAACCCCGACTCCTTGAGTTCACATCCCTGATACCCGAAACCCTAGCCCCAAACCCCAAACACACAAACTCCTTGAGTTCTTACGTTCCTTGTTTCCTGGCATCCAATGCAAAGCCCGAAGCCTGCCACCTTTCGAAGGTGGGGTTAGACTAGAACCCAGAGTACTTTGTGGTGCTTTACTGTAACTTTAGATCCTTGCCTTTTTTGGGTTTATTGGGTTCTTATTAAGGCAGCTAAAAGTTTAGTTTATAGCTACCCTCCTGAGTGCAGCCAAGAGTAAGTCCTTATTCCCCCTTTTGACACGGTTTATGTGCCTTTTTTCTCCCTTGAGAAACCAAACAGGGCACCCGTTTTATTCCTAGCTTATTCTTCTTGAGTCTACTAGGGCTTAAGTGGAGCCCGCGAAGTCTAAGACTCCGAACCCCACACCTGAGATCTAGACTAGGTTACCTACACCTGCAGGCTCAGGGGTAGTTCTAAATAGGGTTGGAAGGAAGTACATTTAGGGTACTTATAATCCTAGTCGCTAAGAGCTGGTGTGTACATTCGGT